GGGTTGGGGCAGGGGAGGGAGAGTTGGGAGGTTCTGCCCTTGAGTCTGATCGTAGATCTACTCATCAGGGAATCCTACATTGAGAATCTCACACTCTTCTGTTCCCTTCTAGTTCAGGATTTCAAAATACCAGTGAATGGTTCCATTCCATATCTCTGTCATTCTATGTTTAGGGAGGAGCTACTGTGTATAGTACACTTAACACGGGAGTCCTAGTTTTCTGAGATCCTTAAGAAGGAGTTGCCACAAAGAACTAGAAGTGTCTTACAAGTGGTTAATAAACAATGGAAGCATACTGCTACCCTTAGCTACCTAAAACTTGTTTTTAGTCTAGATACTTTCCACCCCAAAACAGTAGTCTATATAGATGTAAAAAGATAGAATGGTGACTTCTTTGAGTTTTAAAAGTCTGCGTTATTATAAATTTTCAAATGTAATTACAAGTTACAAAAATGCCAGTGTAATTTTTCAAACTTTCTCCCTTTTTACCTAGCCCCCTCCTGCTCTGCTAGTCTTCTTATGCTTTACTCCCTGGCATGCACTCTTTGATCCAATGACACAAGGCCTCTGACCTGTTCCATGAATAGGACACTCCATCTCCCAGCCCTGGACATTTTCTCTTGCAGTGTCCCATGCCTGGAATGCTCTCCCTCTTTCATTCGGATCACTGACTTCCCTGGTTTCCTTTAGGTTCCAGCTAAAATCTCACCTCCTACAGGAAGCCTTCTCCAGCTCTTAATTCCAGTGCTTTCCCTATTAGTTATTTCCCTTTTATCCTGTATATAGCTTGCTTTGTATTTATTTGTTTGCATGCTGTTTCTCCTACTATATTATAAGCTCTTTGAGAGCAGGAATGATCTTTTGCTTCTTTTTGCAACTCCAGTGCCTGGCAGATAGTAGGTGCTTAATAAATGTTTATGGATTGACTGATTTTTACCTTGAATTCACTACCCTCTAGATCAGGGATTTCATTTTTTCTTCTTTCTTCCAGAATGTGATGTCAAGATTGAGAATGAAGAAGATTCCAGGGAGGATTCTGCCATGAAAATGGAGTTGTGTAGAACCCTGGCAGAGAAGTCCAGGGGACGTGGTCTTCAGTCAGCTTGTCAGGGACAGGCTTGTGTGATTCGGTCAGAATGGCATCAGGGTTATCCACTAGTGGAGAGAGAGAGCCAAACTTCTGTTAAGGAAAGGGATATAGGTCTTCAGAGAGCCTGTGTAGTAGAGAAACCCTATAAATGCCCTGAATGTGGAAAAAGCTTTAACAAAAGTTCTCATTTGATCAAACATCAGAGAACCCACACAGGGGAGAAACCCTACAAGTGTCTTGTATGTGGAAAGGGCTTCAGTGACCGCTCCAATTTCAGTACCCACCAGAGAATTCATACTGGAGAAAAACCCTACAAATGTAATGAATGTGGGAAGTGCTTCAGCCAGAGCTCAAGCCTTGTCATACATCGAAGAACCCATACTGGAGAGAGACCCTATAAATGTGGAGAATGTGGGAAAAGCTTCAATAACAGCTCTCATTTCAGTGCACACCGGAGAACCCACACGGGTGAGAGACCCTATACGTGCCAGAATTGTGGGAAAAGCTTTCGTCGGGGCACTGACCTTAATAAACACCAGAGAACCCATACAGGAGAGAGGCCCTATAAGTGTGAGGTTTGTGGAAAAAGCTTCACACGGAAACACCAACTTGTAACACATCAGGAGACTCATACAGGGGAGAGTCATGTTCACTGACTGAGGTTTGGAGTCATCTTCCACTGAAGGTCAGCTTTTCAGAGATACCTGGTGGTGGGAGGTGGGAATTTTGAACAATATACAACTCTCCTTTTGTTTGAAGGATATTTGTTTGAAGGATTTTGAACTTTACAATATTGATTAAGACGAAACCATTAACTTACAGGATGTTTAGACTTGAACACGTTATGGGCCATCAAGTGGCAGCTACTACCATAGGCTGATTCTGTTACAGATACCCAGGAAGCTTTGTGAGGGTAAAAAGATTTCTGACTGGGAAAATGTTGCAGAAATATTCCTTGTATTTCCATATCCTGCGTACCTCAGGCCTTACCATCATTCTGATCCTTTTTGCCAACCATTTTCAGTTCAGTCTGTTGTACTTTTTGCCATAAGAACATATCTCTGATGTTCTAGTGGAAGTTGTTGAGAAAGTAGGATTTACTTTATAGAAATGTGTTTTGTTGCCAGTCTTGCTAGAATACATCTGTTCTGTAGAGAGATATTTTTCATGTGCAGGTAGCTAAGAGAGATCATTCTTACATGCTGGCACATCACCTGCTTAGCAAGCTCAGAAATTTCCTTTTTGAATTGTTCCCATTGAATCTGAGAGCCTGGAGTCGAGGACTGTTTTCTATTCTTAGCTCTCGGTTTATCTGTGAGTTTTTAGGGGGGTTTTGTTTGTTTGTTTTTGTTTTTTTTTTTTTATGTGAGGCAACTGGGGTTAAGTGACTTGCCCAGAGTGACACAGCTAGTGAGTGTTATGTGTCTGAAGCCAGATTTGAACTCAGGTCCTCCTGACTCCAGGGCCAGTGGTGCTCTATCCACTGTGCCACCTAGCTGCCTCTTTTTAGGGTTTTTTTTTAATAGCTGCCTCAGCCTGGGTCTTTTCCACAGTGAAAAAGTTATCAGCCTGGAACTTCCAGTTCGATTCTCAGTCCTGTCTAGTCTGCTAATGTTTGTCCTCTCCTAGCTGTTTAGTACTTATGGTATGGGGAATGGCCCATGAAGATTAGTAGAGAATAACTCTTCTATTAGATTCAGAGAGCTGGTTTCCCAGTGATAGCTAACGAAGTTTGGTAGATCTCAGTTCTTGCCAGGGAGGAATTAGTCCTAGAAGCAGCAATATATTCCTCTCTTGGGGCAGTATTTACTCATCACCCAGCTTTGTTATCCTTTCAGTTTTTCCCATCACCTAACACCATATGTGTATTTTCATATTTGATAGTCTTACCTTCATGTGAACCTAGCCTAGGGCCACAGTGAGACTCTAAAACACATATAATACCTGCCCCTCTTCATTCCTTCAATAAAGGCAATACCTTTTTTTTTTGCCCTTGCTTGTTTTGTACATTTTTTGGAGAGTGGGATTTAAATGAGCCTTAAGTGTAATCAAGTCCTCCTCTGCTGGTGCTTCATTGTGGTGGGGTAGTGACTCTGGCTGCACAAAGGCTATACCAGTGCACACAAACTACGGCAGGTCCTGCTAAACTGGGAAGGATTTCAGAATGGCCTGGTGAAGAACTCTGCGGGGCCTAAGGACCAGTTGGGTTAAGTTGGTGAGTCTAATTAGATTGCCTGTAATGAGAGATCTGCATCAATGAGGACCGGGTCCACATCCAAGAAATCAGACCCTAGGAAGTAGTATGTGATGAGCACCTTTTCCCAGTTTAGGTTTAGGAGCTTCTCTGGTGCACAAATTTAGAAACCAAAACAAAATCTTTCCCTCCACTTTCAGGCTCGTTTGGTTTACTGCCAGCCCTGTTGTTCTCTCCCCATTGTGCCCAATACTTTTCCTCCCTTCTCTCCCAAGTGGGGTTTTATAAATGTAAGAGGGGTGAAATTCTTAGGATATATGGGAATCACAAAGTCTTAAGCTTGCACCCTGGTTTGGGATACTGTGACATCATGTTGACTGAGAAGACTGGGACCTGAATGCAGCTCAATACATGACCTGTCCTGGAGCTTCAAGCTATCAGTTGGCCCTAAAGGGTAGGATCTTCTTAAGAGAGTCCGTAGTTCTTGTATGGAATGGAATATCTGGATGGAATAACTTCATACTACCATGAATAATCCTGACCCTCAGGCCTCACCCCTCTGACCCAATGCTGTAGCAAGACATCTTGAAACCACTCTAGATTAGGCTGGATGGGCTCCCTAGGCACAGCTTGATCTAGAACTGCCCCTCCAGTGCAGTAACCAGTCCACCTAGCTTTTGAAGGTGTGGGTCAGGGTGTCCCAAATGTGTGAGCCAAATAATTGTAACTACATCATAATGTGGTACCACAGCCTAAAGTGTAAAAGTGTCGCATCCTTAGCTCACCAGTACTTTCTGCCTGCTACTTTCTAGTTTAGTATTCAGGTGCATGTCCCACCTCCAAAAAAATCACAACTCCCTCTTAGTTCAGCTTCCTAGTTCCTAGGGCCCTTAATTCCTGATTTTGAATTGACACCTTTCCTTCTGATTCTTCTCATACCCATGTTATTAATATACCACCTTAGAACCATCATTCCCTCCCATCTCCCTCAAAGGACTAATTCCAGACCCTAACAGTGTAAGAGCACCTGTTCTTCATTTTCTGGGAATAGAGATCTGATCTCCCCTTGGGATATGGATTGTGGTAGAGCAGCCCTTTAGTCTCTTTCCAAACCTCCCAGATGTGTAACAAACTAAACCAAAAAATGTTTTGGTACTTAAGAGGAGGGCAGGACATGAGTAGAGTTGGGAACTTTATGTTTGTTGGAATGTAATAAAAATTTCCTATTTTTCTTGCAACTTTATACTTTTTTTGTAAACAAAAAGTTTTTATATTATAAGTATAGGAAATAAATGTTGACAAGTGAAATAACTGAACATATGATTGCAAGATAACACTGCCTTGGTGTAGTTGCCCTATACCTATAGGCATAAGTGTTACTTACATTCTGCACTAATGATTGGATGTCAGATAGGGGCTGATGAAAGAACGAACACAGTACTACAAAGATAAACCAAATGATACATAACAAAATAGCAACTACATAAAGTACTGAGACCAAACTATAAGAACAATCTGGCCAGTTGGTCAAACTGATAGCTGAAAGAGCTACTCAAGCAGTGGGACGTGCATAGGGTTGGTTGGAGGGAGCTCTTATCACTTGTTAAATTTTCAGTGTGAGCATTTACACCTTGGAAATCAGCAAAGGCCACAAATCAGGGCCTGATTTATTTTGTGGGTTTTCTAGATTTAAGAAAGTAATAGATAAAATAAGAATGCAGATTAAACTTGGAAGTGTGTTGTGGGTTTTCAGAGAGCTGGTTGTTAAACATTTACCAGCACACCATTAGGCAGACTGTTAAGAGTTGTCAATACTTAAAAACCTTGCAAAAGCTCTTAAAATACAATTCCCAGCCCATTGACCTTGTCTTGATTTCCTTAACAAAAAGATCATCCGGAACTGCTGTTGAACTTGGAACTGAAAGTTGATTTTCTATTACTTTATTTAATAGATATTTTAATACATTTGCTGATATTAGAGGGGGAAAAGAAACACTGGAATTAAAAAACAAGAAGCCTTTGAATACCAAGGTAGTGGAATGTTGGGCAGCTCTATGCTGACATCAAATGAAACTATCAAGTTGAAGAGCTCCCTAGTCAGAGCTCAGGTCTTAAGGTAGTCTAGGGGTATATGGATGTGGGTGGAGGTTATGGAGGGCCCAGGGAAGCCATAGCTATTCAAGACAGTCTGGGCCTGTTCCTGGTCACAGTCAAAACTACAAGTCCTCTTCTGATTTTCTATTATCCTACTTGGAAACTAGTTTAATTCCCTTCCTCAACCTAGTATTTATCAGGGCTGGTGGCTGGGTCTTCTGCTGCTTCCCTAGCTCCTATTCAATCAGGGTCATGGTTAGATATGAGATGAAAGAGCATATTCAAATGTGTGATGAGCCATGGCTCAGGTCTCCTTGCTTCTAGGAAACAGAGAAATCTAAGTGATGACTGAAGAATGACTCCTATAATTTGCTGCTTTCATATCCTGTCAGGTGTCAAAGGCTGTGACTTGTTTCCTCATTTGCCTGATATAGGGCAAACACATGAAAGTGCATCCCATGCCATGGGAAAGCAAGGCTTCCTTTGTCAATGAAGTGGTTTAACAGCTTCTTTGTGGTGTAAGTGGTCACATTGGAGGCTTGCAATCTTTGCCAGGGGCTTTTATCTGAGACTGATGTGAATTCTCTCTACTCCTTCCATGAAGTCAACTCATTTTTGTTGTGCCAAGGGATAGCTTATTTGAATTGCTGCTTTGAGAGAAGTCATGGGCTTCATGTTGGTGAATGTTCTTGAAGGTTAGGCAGACATTCCACATTAGTTCTTCCAACTGCTGAGGAAAAGGGGACACAAAATGATAGTGATAAATGGCTTTGAAAAAGCAGGATTACTTTGTGTTCCTGTTCGTTGATGTCACAGACTTTTAAAATCACTGTATTGGAAGGGATCTTAGGATCATCTAGTCTAACTTCCCTCTTGATGTAGGGATTTCACACTGGTGAAACCCTAAAGTGTTGTTCAAGGTTTTGCTCTGGGGCAGGGTTGGGGAGCCTCTGGCCTTGAGGTCACATGTGGTCGTCTAGGTCCTCATGTACGGCCCTTTGACTGGATCCAAACTTCACAGAACAAATCTGATTTGTTTGGATTCAGTCAATGGGCCACACTTGAGGATCTAGAGGGCCATAGGTTCCCCACCCCTGCTCTGAGTTTCTTCTAAAATTAATAGATTCCTTCACAGTGTGCCTCTCCAGCTCACACAGGGACTGCATTCAATATGAGGAGGCAAAGGGAGAAAAGCAAAGCCTACCTTTTCTAGTATTTCTTTCTAAGAGGTGCTTCAACTTGCATTTAAATCTCTTCTCCCTAAAAAAGGATAGTGATCATTTTTCTGTACCACTATTCCCTGCCAACTTTTCCTTCCGGTTCTCAATTATTACTGCACATTAGTGACTGCCTGTACCACCTTAATATGGACCTTGATTTTGGAAGCAAAGCTTGCATCTGCTCAAGTTCGTTGTGGAGACAGTTTTAGGACATCCAAATTGACATATCTATGTCTTAACTGAAGCAGGAAAGTAGAGAAAACAAATTTTAAACTATTCCCAGTTCCTAAAGGATCTATATATTTACTTCATGTGTCAAATTAGACACATAAATGAGCAGAAGCGGAAGCAAAATAAAACTTCAGATTTGACTGTATGTACAGGTAGATGATGGATCTGAAATTAGTCTGCAGGCCCTTTCCCCTGCCCATGGAAAGGAGGCAGGATTGTCTTTCAGGGTGGGCAGAGTAGGCAACAACCTATGTGGTACCTTCCCTCTCCTTACCAAACCTTCTCTTGTCTTCTTTCCTCCCCCCCCCAACACACATTACAAGGTTTTGGTATCTACCTTAAAGAGATGTGAGCATCAAATGACAAATAATTAGAGTGCATTCTAACCCATGAGGCATTATACATAGAAATGCAAACATAAAGTCTCCTAGTGCCTCAAATTGAACAGTTAAGGGATTACACTAGCAACTGTTGTTCAGCTGTGGCCTGAAGAAGGAATTACTCCTTGAGCACAGGCACTGTGACTGCCCACAGCACACTACTTGGCACGAGTATGGACTCAGTAAATGTTTGCTGGCTGGCTGGCTGAATTTCTCTGGATCCTGAAAGTCCCCCATGAAAACTCCAATACCTGTGGATGCCTTCCTACCTAACAGTAGACTGGCACCTCTAGTTGACAATCAGGAGAACAAGATAGGAGGAGGAAGGGTTGATGGTGTGTGGGAATCAGAAAGAGGATTTGAAACTGAAGGGGGAGGTCACTTAGTACTAAAGGCAAACATGGCTGCTGACTTCACAGCTTGTCCTGGGGCTAGCTTAAGACAGCTAGAACAGCTGACAGGCAGCATTCTTGAGCCCAGTGTCAGATATGCCCTTTGAACTTTCCTCCCTGCACTCAAAAAGCTTCTGTCTAGTGACTGAGATGAACGTGAAGCATATTTGAAGTAGATTATATATTCCTGAGCTTATCTCTTCTACCAGACTGTAAGCTCCATCCATAGGGGCAGAGACTGCCATCATTCGTCTTTATATCCCCTCCATCACTGAGTCTAGCACTTCACAGGAGCCTCAATAAATGTCTGTTGAACTGGGAGAACAAGGAATAGTTTACCTGTCAGATCTATGGAGAACAGAAGAATTCATGACCAAACAGGAGATAGAGAACATTATGAAAACCAAAATGGATAATTTTGATTACATTAAATTGAAAAGTTTTTGCACAAACAAAGCCAATGCAACTAAGATTAGAAGGAAGGTAGAAAATTGGGAAAGAATTTTTACAACCATCTTTCTGATAAAGGCTTCATTTCTAAAATGTATAGAGAATTAAGACAAATTTATAAGAACACAAGCCATTCCCCAATTGATAAATGGTCAAAGGATATGAACAGACAGTTCTCAGGTAAAGAAATTAAAGCCATCTATAGTCATATGAAAAAATGTTCTAAATCATTATTGATTGGAGAAATGCAAATCAAAACAACTCTGAGGTACCACATCACACCTATCAGATTGGCCAACATGACAAAACAGGAAAATGATAAATGTTGGAGAGGATGTGGGAAAATTGGAGCGCTAATACGTTGTTGGTGGAGTTGTGAAATGATCCAACCATTTTGGAGAACAATTTGGAACTATGCCCAAAGGGCTACGAAAATGTGCATACCCTTTGATCCAGCAATAGCACTTCTAGGGCTATATCCCAAAGAGATCAAACAAATGGGAAAAGGACCCACATGTACAAAAATACATAGCAGCTCTTTTTTGTGGCAAAGAATTGGAAATTGAGAGGATGCCCGTCAATTGGGGAATGGCTGAGCAAGTTGTGCTATATGAATGTAATGGAATACTATTGTTCTATAAGAAATGATGGACAGGCTGACTTCAGAAAAACCTGGAAAGACTTATATGGTCTGATGCTGAGTGAAGTGAGCAGAACCAAGAGGACTTTGTACACAATAGCAGCCACGTTATACAATGACTAAGAATGTTAAACTGAACCCTTCTCAGCATTACAAGGATCTAAGACATCTCCAGAGGCCTCGGGATGGAAAATGCTGTCCACATCCAAAGAAAGAACTATGGAAATCGAATCGCTCTCACTTATTTTTACCTTTTGTTGAGTTTTGTTTCATCTTTCTGATGGTTCCTCCTATTGGTTTTAATTTTTACTTACAACTTCACTAATGTGAAAATATGTTTAATGGGTATGTAAATGTAAAGCCTATGTCAGATTGTGCGCCATCTTGGGGAGGGTGGGGGGGAGAAAAAGGGAGAAAAAATTTCAACTCAAAAGCATATGGAAAAAAAAATGAGCTGGAGAATGAAAAAAAAATAAATGTCTGTTGAATTAAGACTTTAATTATGACAGCTCTTGTTCTCTAAGTGGAGAAGACTTAGCAGCTATGAAGGACGGTACTGTCTTGGCTTTGGTATCACAGAGTTACACAATTTCAGGATTAGAAGGGACCGCAGTGGCCATCTAGTCCAACCTATACCTGAACGAGGACTCTCCTGATAACGCAACATATAACATCATCCAAACTTTGCTTCCAGTGAAGGGAAACACACTATGATGTTCTTTATGATCTCTCGTAGTTGATCTGAATTTCTGATCCTATGATGAACTTCCAGGGCAACTCTGGAATAGAATTCTGCCCTAACATGTATTCCACTTGTGGATAGCTTGAATTGTTAAGACGTTTTTCTTTACATCAAGTCTAAATTTGCTTCTTTGCAACCCCGAACCATTGCTTGTAGTTCTGCCTTCTTGGACCAAACAGAACCAATCTATGCCTTCACATAACAGCCCTTGAAGACAGTATTCCTCTTTAAGTCTTCTGTTCTCCAGACTAAACAACCAGTTCCTTCATCCATCCTCATACCATATCTAAACTGGCTGAACAAGTGGGAAGGAGAAAGGGCATCACCTCTTCTTAGCAGACCTAGTGGGGGGACCAAAGGATCATATATCTAATTCTGGAAAAGACCTTTGAGGCCATCCAATCCAACCCCCTCATTTTACAGATGAGGAAATGGCCCAGGGTGAAGCAACTCACAAAAGATAACACAGGGAGTAAGCAGCAAAGCCTAAAGTCAAGCTTAGTCTTCTGACTCCAAATTCAAGGTTGGCCTGCTGACCTCCTTGGCTTCCTTTAAGTTTTAACTAAAATCCAGTCTTTTACTGGAAGCCTTACCCAATCCCTCTTAATTCCAGTGCCTTCTTCCCTCTGAGATTACTTTCTATTTACACTGTATATATCTTATTTGTGCATAGTTGTCCACATGTTTTCTCTCTTATTAGAATGTGATCTACCTGGAGGCAAGGAACATGATTTTGTCTTCCTTTGTACCCTGCCCCAAGCACTTAGCATAGTGTCTGGCAAACAGTAGGTGCTTAATCAATGCTTGTTGACTGGAAGAAAATTTCTACTGCCTTCCCTCTGTTAATTATTTCCTATTCATGCCGTATATAGATTGCTTTATATTTTTTTTGTTTGCATGTTGTCTCCCCCCTTAGATTGTAAGCTTCTTGAAGGCAGGGACTCTCTTTTGCCTCTTTTTATATCCCAAGCACTTAGCGCAGTGCCTGACACACAGTAGGTGGCTTAATAAATGTTTACTGATTGATTTCTTCTATGTTCTTTATGATATGTAATGGGAAGGCAGCATGGGGTGATGGAGTGCCAACTTCAGAGTCAAGAGGACTGAAGCACGCTGATAAATCACTTAGATCTATTGGCAACATCTGAGTTGCAGAACAGTTGTTGATCTCTGGTAGAAGGAATTTCTTTACAGAAATGATGAGATCACAGGACTGAGGAAAGAAAAAAAAAACCTCACCAACTTTGGAATCAGGTTAGATGGCAAGGTGTTTGGAATTCTTTTCTAATATACATTCCCCAACTACAGTGTCTACCCTGCAGACATCCCTCCTACAAAGTCAAATCATCCCAGGAGACAATGCTTTCTTTGAGTTAAAAAGTCTATTAGCAAATAAAAGGCACTCTCTCTAGAGGCAAGAGTTGATTGCTGTCTCTTCCCTGGGCCTCTTTCTATAAATGGACTTAAGGGGAAAAAAAGCCTATCTCTAAGATATTGTTCCTTTCTGAAGCATGCTTAACACAATCCTCGGGGGGAAAATGGAGAGGGAGCAAGTTCAGACTTATCCTCAAATGAAAAAGTACATTAGGTCTGTCTTCACCTCCCTATAGTTTCCTTATTCAGACTCTTTCTTCCTCTTCAACTGAAGAAATGTTTATTAAATCTATATTATATGAAGGGCACTCTCTAGGTCCTGGGAGAGATAAATAGAGTAACTAAGTCAAAGCCTCTGCACTCAGCTTATAATTGAATAGGGGAAATACTATCCACAAGGAAGGGGACAGGGACTGAAGCTATGGTTTTAATGATCGAGGGAACTCTAGGATGAAGAAGCTCCTATCAATGCAAGTCAGCATCTTGTAAACTAATATCTAGTTGAAGTGACTTGCCCAGGCTCACACAGCCAATATCAATCAGAGGCAGGACCTAAACCCTGTCTTCCTGACTCAAGAGACCAGCTCTCTATCTATTGTGCCATCTGCCTTTCCTGCCATGCACAGTCACATCTCATACAAAGGAGAATGGGATAAGGGCAAAAGAAGGATTCGAACAAAGTACTTTCAGAATTTTGAAGATGGAAAGATCACTTCCAGGTTACGGCAGGGTGGATCAGTTACAGCCTTGTGTGACAGGTGTTTCCTGAGTCCGACTTACAAGGACCGAAGGAAGCTCAACAGGTGGAGATTGGGGAAAGGGGAAGTAGCCTATTCCAAACATGGGGGACAGGGTGACCAAAGACACAGATACTAGAGAGGGGTAGGATGAAGAAGAGAAATAGTTAATAGTGAGTAGCCCAGTTTGGCTGGAATATAGAGTACAAGAAGGGGAGTAGTGTGAAAGAAGGCTACAAAGGAAGGTTAGAGCCAGATTATTGAAGGCCTTGAATGCTAGGATAAGAGACACACACACACACACACACACACACACACACACACACACACACACACACACACACCCCCTAGTCTGTAACAGGGAGCCACTAAAGTGTGGGATAATGAATTGGTGAGATGCTGGAGATAGGAGAATGATAAATTCAGATTAGGACACATGAAGTTTAAGATGCTGGCAGGACATCCTTGTGGAGGTATCCAACAGGTGGCTACAAATATGAAAGTGGAGCTTGTAAGGCAGAGGGGGAACTGCAGAAATGCAGTTGGAGGTGACCCAAATAATAGTTGGCAGTTATATAGTATATTAAGGTTTGCAGAGCATTTTATATACATTATCTTATTTGATTTCCCCAATATCCCTGACACATATCTCTGTTTTACAAATAAGGAAATAGAGGCTCATTAGAAGTTGAGTGGGGCTGGGCCTGGAGTTAGGAAGACCTCACTTAGTTCAAATCTGGTCTCAAACACTTACTTGCTGTGTGACCCTGGGGCAAGTCACTTAACCCTATTTGCCTCAGTTTCCTCATTTGTAAAATGAGCTAGAGAAGGAAATGGCAAACCAATGTCTTTGCTGGGGACACAACTAAGATGACTAAATGACAGCGATGACAACAACAGAAGTTGAGCAACTTGACTATGTTCACACAACTAGTAAGTGACAGGGATTGCAAATGAACCTTAATCTCTGCTGACTTTGACTCTGGAGTCAAAAATTCTTTCACTAAAAGTTCTCACACAAACAAAGCCAATGCAACCAAAATTAGAAGGGAAGCAGAAAGCTGGGAAATAATTTTTTTTTTGTGAGGCAATGGGGTTAAGTGACTTGCCCAGAGTCACAACTAGTAAGTGTTATGTGTCTGAGGCCACATTTGAACTCAGGTCCTCCTGACTCCAGGGCCAGTGCTCTATCCACTGCACCACCTAACTGCCCCATGGGAAACAATTTTTACAACCAGTGTGTCTCTGATAAAGGCCTCATTTCTAAACTATATAGAGAACTGAGTCAAATTTGTAAGAATACAAGTCATTCTCCAGTTGATAAATGGTCAAAGAATATGAACAGGCACTTTTCAGATAAAGAAATTAAAGCCATCTATAGTCATATGAAAAAATGCTCTAAATCACTATTGATTAGAGAAATGCAAATCAAAACAGCTCTGAGGTACCATATCACACCTGTCAGAATGGCTAACATGACAAAGCAGGAAAATGATAAATGTTGGAGAAGAAGATAAAAGTTGGAACACTAATGCATTGTTGGTGGAATTGTGAACTGATCCAGTCATTCTGGAAAGCAATTTGGAACTGTGCCCAAAGGGCTATAAAACTGTGCATGCTCTGACCCAGCAATACCACTTCTAGGGCTGTATCCCAAAGAGATCATAAAAATGGGAAAAGGACCCACATATACAAAAATATTTATAGCAGCTCTTTCTGTGGTGGCCAAAAACTGGAAATTGAGGGGATGCCCATCAATTGGGGAATGGCTGAACAAGTTGTAGTATATGAATGTAATGGAATACCATTGTGCTATAAGAAATGATGAGCAGGCAGACTTCAGAAATACCTGGAAAGACTTGTATGGAGTAACGCTGAGCAAAGTGAGCGGAACGAGGAGAACATTGTACACAGTAACAGTAACATCATGGCGATGGCTTTAATAGAATTACTTCTTCTTAGGAATGCAAGAATCTAAGACAACTCCAAAAGACTAATGATGGAAAATGTTATCCGCATCCAGAAAAAGAGCTATGGAGTCTGAATGCAGATGGAAGCATACTATTTCTCTCTCTCTCTTTTTTTCTCCTTATTGTTCCTCCTATTGGTTCTAATTCTTCTTTACAGCATGACTAATGTGAAAACATGTTTAATATGAATGTATATGTAGAGCCTATATCAGATTTCATGCCATCTTGAGGTGGGGGAAGGGGAGGGAGGGGGAGAAAATTTGGAACTCAAAATCTTATGGAAGTGAAGGTTGAAAACCAAAAATTAATTAATTAAAAAAACAAAAAATTCTTTCACCACATCACACAATTGAAGCCATGCCAATATAGAAGGTTGCCAAGGGAAAATGTTTATCTAGAGAAGGAGGCTCAAGAGTAAAACCTGGACAGTACTCACATTTAACATTTGATGAATGCAAGTGCTTTCAAAATCAATAGATAAAAATGGCAACTTTAACCCATTATTGCAGAGAAGCTTAATTACCTTCAGCTCCATCCACTAAAATGTGACCTGGTACCATTTACTGATGGCACAACACTGCTTCTGCCCACTGCCCTTCTACCCCTTTTCTAATGTCTTCTGTGTCATCAAACCTAAGTTGGGTCAAGGTCATCAAGTTCCTTGACAATAGTACTACTCGTGGTCATAGGATTGCAGCAACATTTGCAAGCATCATTAATCAAGAGTTGCAGAGCTACAGCATGCCCAGGAGAGTCCAGTATTACATTCTACTTAGAGCAGTTACTGATCTCTAAGAGTATCTGGATGCATCAGACACTTACTAGCTGTGTTACTGCCATCTAAATGTCTGCACCTCAGGTTACTTATTTATAAAATAGGGATAATAGCATAGGCACTAGCTATTTCAGAGGGCTACTGTAAACAAGGGCAGCTAGGTAGTGCAATGAATAGTGTTAGTCCTGGAGTCAGGAGGACCTGAATTCAAATTTGGCCTCAGACACTTATTAGCTGTGTCACCCTGGGCAAGTCACTTACTATTTGTCTTAGTTTGTCATCTGTGAAATGAACTGGAGAAGGAAACGGCTACCCACTTCAGCATCTTTAACAAGAAAACCCCAAACGGGGTCACAGACAATCGGCCACAACTGAAACAACTACAACATTGTGAGCAAAGGGCTTTGTTAATCTTAAAATGCCACATATCTGAATAATTATCTCTGTTGTGCCACATGTGGAAGACGTGGCCTGAGTCTTACTACTCTATAGATGCTCATGACAAACATGGAATAGAGCAAAGAGAACCATAGGACTAGGTATCTAATAACTAGGATCCACATTATCGACCCAGCTCTCAAATTACTTTACCTTGAGGTTTCTCTTGTTTTATTCAGAGGAGTTGCCAACTCCACAATGAATTTTTCTGAATCCAGATGCTCGTCTATGCCCTTTTGATTTTCTCCTCTACCTCTGGCCTCCTGGTCTAGGAAGGGGAGCCATTTAGATCCCAGTGGCCTCACAGAAGTGTTCTGATGGGTCTTTCTTGTTACCACATGTTGTTTTCTCCTGATTCCTGAATTGGCCACATCTTCAAAAGTTTCAGCATCCCGCGTATCATGGCCCTCTTGGGTAATCACTTTAGTTTCAGTGCCACATGACTGAGAGGTCTTCTGGAAAGCACGGAGCTGTTGTAGCAGGTAACTTTTCCCAGTCTGGTCCCTGGTAAGAGTCAGAATCCAAGAAAAACAAGAACAAATCAAAGAAAAGCATCCTGACGTTTACTTCATGGTTATTAAGGGCGGAACAGTACATTTGAGAAAAAAAAATTAATAGTTCAATTTCAACAACTTACTCATATAAGGTAGAAAGTAGGTCACTCAGGAGGCCTCACAGCAACTACTTGAATAAAACACCAGGGACGCAGAACACTAATAGTTGTCATTTAGTCAGCAACATTGAACGGGCAGCATGTGCAGCAGGAGCTGTCTCACTTGTAGGGAGAGCTATTTGTCCCTTTAACTTAAGGCTACTACAATGGGAAAATTCAATTTTCCACCAAAAAGGATAATCCCTTTAGATGTTATCAGTCATTTACATCTTGGAGTGATGAAAGATCTGAAAGCAGTTTTTGATAGGAAACTGGGGAGAGAGAATGACTACATTTCAGTTTGATGTCAAAGTGGGCTGGGAGATGGAGAACAGAGTACCAGCAATAGAAGACAAGAGGGTTCTGGGAGTATGGCAGACAAAATTCTTCTATGTCATAATTCTACTAATACTGGATCCTGAACTATAGGAGTTTATAATGAAAATGAGAACACAGCTGTTATTCTCAAGAAATTTACTGTATGAATCCACAGATAAAACAAACACAAAAGAAACTGTTTGAGAATATTATAGATGTTGTTAAATCTACAAATTTAGGCAAGTGCTAATGTGCCTGCTCGTTTATTGGAGGCACATGCCCTGGAACTTCTTGATATGCCAGAATGTTACTGTTATGCATTTGTATTTGTATAATGTCCAGAAATAATGTGTTATTTGAGGGGTGGGCACATCTAGATGTGCCACGTTTGGGGTAGGTCAGTATATACTCCCAGCACATGCTGTTTTTTACTGTGGTGTCATGTACATTTTGTTCCCTTATAATTGTTCTCCAGGCATTTTGCCTTTTTCCATTAGATTGTGAGGGCCTGAGATGCAGGAATTATTTCTTCTCCTTGTTTTATACCTCTAAAGTACCTTGTTCAGAACTGGTGACATAAGCAGTGCTTAAGAAAATGCTTGTTCATTCATTTATTCAATCAATCAATGAGTGAACAAGGGTAGAAATGACTGAGACAATTATGTAGAACTCAACAGCCTAGAAGCAAGAATAGCTCTTGGCAAAGATGTAAAATGTCACATATACTTGAAATGGGATGAATCTATTTAAGTTGGAAAGTTGAGTTTTAACAGGGCATTTTTATGTTAGGTATAACAAAACTGTTATGGAGATGGTTGTCAACAAGGAACCACTGCCAAAAACACTAGAGGAAAAAAAACCTTCTTTGTTAGATTTCAGCTATTATTAGAAGCTTCCACAAATGCTTGAGCTTTTTTGGCAATTTTATGCTACTGTCAGGAAGTGTACATTAGGTGCTCCAGAAAGCCTTTCCTTCTTTTGAGGTTCATTAGAATGGCACCATCCCGACAAAAAAAAAAAAGGAAGAGAACCTAATATGGATTCTAAAGGACCTAGAATACGAAGTAGGCATTCTTTTGAATGATAGATAAATAACATCTTTTCTTTGAAAGACATAAAGCATTTATGCATTATAAGATAATTATATAATTCAAATATCCTTAGCAAAAAATTTGCCAAAAAGATGTTAAAGCAGGAAAAGTGACGGCTTGATTTTCAATCACCAGATTGATATTGATGTGAAAAAAAAAATCACTAATAGAGAAGAAAAATAAAGCCCCAAGATGCCATTCTTGGAATTTTTCAGCTGAAGGAAAACCTTTTTTTTTTTCTACCTTGGTCCTTGTGAAATTCTCTCTCTGGGTTCTTTCTCATCTCTCACATCTGGAATTCCTCCTCACTTTCGGTAGAGCTATCATTGGAGCTAGAGAGAAATGAAATATAAATTAATTCTATCATGTTACAGCACGCCTAAAAGTGCTGGAACTTCTTATTAAATGAGTTAATATTTTCAGCATTCTGCAAGTGTATTCAACTGTGTGCTCTTGGTGAGGTGGGAAGGAGGGGAAAGGAGGCAACACAGGTATAAAAAGCCTTGAAGTGGCCTGGCACATTTATTAAATAATTCAAAGCACTCTCTCTCTCTCTCTCTCGCTCTCTCTCTCTCTCATTCTCTCTCTCTATCTCTCTCTGTCTCTCTCTCATTCTCTCTCTCTCTCTCTCTCTCTCTCTCACACACACACACACATACACACACACACACACACACACACAAATTCATTTGGATGAAAAAGTGAACTGAACTGGAAATACCTCTTGGGGTAAGGAGTTCAGCAGTCTGAACTTCCAGCTGTATGCGTATGAATGTATGTGTGCAATCCAATCCTGGATTGAATTAACTTACATTTCAACTTGAAGTGATTTTCAGTCTATCCATGTTCCTCCTTACTGAGAAGAAACTGCTTATTTAGCTCCTACTTTGCATTTTTGCAAACTGTGCTTGTTGGCTGGATCTATTTTTTTTTAAATGAAATCTGTTCAGTTTAAAGTCTACAGAATCTTCCTTTTGACATAGATTTTCCTTTTGTACTTGTACTAGACCCTATTCCCTCTTTTTCTTCCTTCTCCTCTCTAGATAGTTCTGACAGCAATCAGGATGGCTCTATTTCTACCTTATCAGAAAGAAATAGGTAAGGGAGTTCAATTTTGCCCTCTTTTACAAAATCACTTTTTGGACAATTTATCTGGTTTGACTTTGATTTCTTGGAAGGGGAAGTTTGCTTTTCTAAAAAAATTGTTAAAGAAGAAATACATCTAGAAATGAGAAGTCATATAGATGTGATTGTTGAGACTTAGAAGACATAAAAATATAAGAAAGGTTAGTGTAAAAGTATAAAAATACAGGATACATAAAATAGAAGTTATCAGAATAAATGGGAGATCAATTATACAAATGATAGAAAGATCAAAATTAGCTTCTTTAGATATAGTTGGAACTGGAAGTGAGACTAGATGGGGCCATTCCAGGAAAAGATCAAACCTATTCCAAAGATTTACATATTTGTACTTAAAATTTGTTCTTTGACAAGAATGCCACCTTTGGACTTTGATGGTTTTTGATTTCCAATGATAGGCATTTTAGAGTTGGAAGGTCTTCATCACCTCTCTAATAGGTGAGGAAACTAAGACCCAGGAAGGGGAAGTCAGAGGCCCATAGTCATACCTGCCTGGGCATGGAATATAATTCTTCCCTTTCCGCTATAATTATACCACACTGGCTCTTATTTGTTCTTTTTTAAAAAAAATTTACCTTTTTACATATGTTCCAATTTCATCACCCTACTTCCCGTATCTTCTTTCATTCAAAAAGTTTTTGATTTAGGGTCAAAACACCTGAGTTTCAATCCGGATTGTTAACTTTCATATTTCTGTACCTGCATCCCCCATGCTTAGTACATAGCAGGCCCTTAATTAATGCTTACTGATTGAGTGATTAAAAAAAGCAAGTGACCTTGGTCAAGTCACAGCTTCTTTGGGTCTCAGTTTATCTGTTAAAAGAGAGGGAGGGTGGGGCAGCTAGGTGGCACAGTGGACAAAGCACCAGCTATGGAGTCAGAAGGACCTGAGTTCAAGTGTGACCTCAGACACATGATACTCACTAGCTGTGTGACCTTGGGCAAGTCACTTAACCCTGACTGCCTTGCAAAAAAAAAAAGAGGGGCAAGGGGAAGAGAGACAGACAAGAGAAAGAAAGGAAGAAAGAGACAGAGAAAGAGAAGGCTAGAGGGAAAGAAGAGAGAGGGGACAAAGAGAAACAGAGACAGAGAGAGTTGGACTAGAGGATTTTTAAAGTTTCTTCCAATTCTAACTCTTGTGGTCCTAAAATATGATTGTTAAAAGTTGTAGTTTTATGAAATTAAACTGAGTATTCTTGATAGTCACCGTCTTCAGCCTGTGTCTTGTGTTCCATTCAATCTATAAAGAATAGTGAACCCAATGACTTGGATTCACACAAAGCCTTTCTCTAAAGAGCTCAATGCTTCTTTTTATCTATTATCCCATTTGTCCTGGAGGATAATTACTCCCATTTTATACATGAAGAAATAGATTAAAGTTGTTGTTTTTGTTGTTTTGTTGTTCAGTAATGTTCAATTCTTCATGAGTTCCTTTGGGGTTTTCTTGGCAAAGATACTACAGTGGTTTGCCATTTCCTTCTCCAGCTCATTTTACTGATAGGAAACTGAAGCAAACAGAGTTAAGTGACTTGCCCAAGGTCACATAGCTAGTGTCTGAGGCTAGATTTGAACTCAGGAAGATGAATTTTCCTGACTTCAGGCTGGCACTTTATCGACTGCGTCACCTAGTGTCTAGATTAAAGTATCCCCATCCAAATTTGTGCACTGTGTTGGTATTAGCAATGGGACTAGTAATGATAACAATCCCTGGGATTTGTGTAATCTTGTAGATCCAATCATGTGACCCCTTCTCAGCCAATTCTCTGGGCTTTCTGCCTCCTAGAGGATAAAGAAATGTGTAGTGGGCCCTTAAAAATGTTGGCTGATTTGACTTGACTGGGACTAGGTCTCCAAATTCACAACTCTTAGTCCTGCATTCCCATACCTAACAATACCATTGTAACTAACTCCACAGACTTCTTATTTAATATTTGGAAGTTCTAGTTTCCAAAAGCAGCTTCCTTTCCCCTGCTTTTGGAAATACTTGTCCCATAAAGAAGAAACTGAAAGCAGGTAAAAGCAGAGCTTGTATTTTCTGTGCTGCCATTACCTGAGCTGGTCCCCTTGATTTTGGAATCTGTGTTCTGACCCAGGCAGAGGCACTGATTTCTTTGGCTCAGGCTGCCTGAGGTCAATGAAAACTGTGGGAGGCTCCATCATCCCCTTCAGCTTTGTGTCTTTAGCAACATCTTGCCTCTTCCCTGGTGTTAGGTGTGATATACACCTAGAATTTCTGTGAAGACAAAATAATGATTCCTAAAACATTTCTCTTGTATTACTCATTGGCATAAGGCAAAATTTCCCCCAGAGTCATCATCCTAGGTTCAAAGTAGATAAGGAAACTGAGGATAATTTAAAATCAGGAAGTTGCATACAAAGTTGGGTACTCTAGTCAAGGTTTTACATCCATCCTCCTCTCACTCCAGAAATGGTTTCTAAACACTACCAGTTGTATACAATCATTGTTTTATATATTCACTAAAGAATGCCCAGGAGAAGTCTACCTTAGCAACATTTTAGCGATACATTGAAATAATTCTACATAGAAAAAATTAAAACTATACTGTACAAAGTTTAGGAAGAGATTTTTTTTTTTACTCCATCCCCAGGATGAATCACAGCAGAAATTCAGATTGGGGTTTCTCACTCCTCAGAGGAGAATGTCCAGAACTAACTCAGCATCTTTCTTAGGCCTTTGGACTCATTAGGTCCATTGCAAGCCTGAGAGGACATCTGGAATGTTTAAACATAGGAAGAAGGCACCAGATACTAACCCAAATCCCTGGTTTGATCATGGGTGAGCTAACTCTTCAGATGTCTCAGGAAAGAGGGAACAGACCCATATGTACAAAAACTTTATAGCAGTTCTTTTTGTGGTGATACTAGGTGCCTGTCAATAGGGAGTGTCCATCAACTGGGGAATGGCTAAACAGATTATGACATATAAATATAATGGAATATTATTGTGCTATAAGAAATGATGAAGGCAATGGTTTCAGAGAAACCTGGGAAGACTTGCATGAATCGATGCAGAGTTAAGTAAAAAAGAACCAGGAGAACACTTAATACAATGACAACGATATCGTAAAGGAAAGTAACTTTGAGAGACTTAAGAATTCTGACCAATCACGACTCCAGAAGACTAATAATGAAGCATACCTCCTACTTGGCAGAGAATTAATGAACTAGACATGAAGAATAATCCATTCATTTTCAGACATAACCACTACAACAGAAACTTATTTTGCTTGACTACACTTTTGTTATAAGGGAGGGATTTTTTTTTGGGGGGGAAGGGGGAAGAATTGAGAAGACCAGGAGTGGGAGTAGTGACAGTGATTCCCAAAAAGTCAGAAGGGAAGAACGAAAGGGACATCAATGAACCATACAAAGAGACCAGAGATGGGCGAACACAGACAAGCAGGGCAATGTTGGCACTACCATAATACATTTAATGTTACGTTAAAAGGGACAGCCATATGTAGTAAATTTGCAGATTCACATTTAGTCCCCATTTTTACCCTTCTTTGTGTTAGGAAATGTTTGCATTTGTTGATGATTTTCTAGTTCTTAATTAAAAAACTTTAAATCAATAAAGCAGTTACGTTGAGGGGACAGTAGGGATAGACCTCTCATTTCAATAGTAGAAGGAGCTCCTGTGTGAGGAAACACCTTCTACAAATGCATCTTCTCTGAAACTTATATAGTCTTTTCTCTCTTTTTTTATTAATTTATTTTAACCTTAAATACTAAAACTTAAATACAAAATAAGAAAGTAAAAAAGAAACATATTTTAAACATAAATATAAAAAAAAAGAATTGCCATGTGTACCTCAGAACATAAGAGAAGATTCAAAATATAAAGCAATAAATTTCCATTTCAAGAAAGCCTAACTAATAAATACTACACATTGTGTTCAGAGATATCCATCTTTTCTTTGCTTCCTTGCAGGTTTTCTTTTGTTCTTTCTCTTCTGTGCACAAAATTTATGTGGTCTTGGAGAGTTTCCTAGAGGACTGGGTGGTTGTGTAGGGTTGCACGCAGAGCAAGTAAATGCCAGATGCAGCATACAAAACCAGATCTTCCTGAGTTTGAGGTCAGTTCTCTATCCCCAATATCACAATACCGCTACGAGGGTACCAGACCATTTAAAACAACACCACCAACAACAAAGAGATCACTGGTGGCCTTTGAGAAAGTAGTTTTAGCAGAGTGGTGGGTTCAGAAGCCAGACAGCAAATAGTTTAAAGAGTAAATCAGTGGTGAAGAATTAAGTGTAGATTGTCCTTTTAAGAGTTAAGAGTTCAGCAGTGAAAGGGAAGGGTGTTATAGGATGACAGCTTGAATAGATCACAGGGTCACCAATCAAACGAAAGAATTATTTTATAGAGTTAGAGAAAATAATAGCGAAATTCACCTGGAAAAACAAAAAGTCAAGAATATCAAGGGAATCAATTAAAAAAAAGGGTAGAAGGCAGCCTAGCAGTATTAAATTTCAAATTATATTACAAAGCAGTAATCATGAAAATAATCTGGCACTGGCTAAGAAACAGAGTGGTAGATCAGTGGAATAGATTAGGTACACAATAAACAGTAGTAAATGACCATAGTAATAGTGTTTGAGAAACCCAAAGATCCAAAATTTGGGGGTAAGAACTCACTATTTGACAAAAAGTTATTGTGAAAACTGGAAAGCAGTTTGGCAGAAACTAATCATAGACTAACATTTCACAATGTATGCCAAAATAAAGTCAAAACAGGTACATGACTTAGACACAAAGGGTGACATAAGCAAATTAGGAGAACATGGTAAAAATTTATCTGTCAGATCTATGAATAAGGGAAAAATTTATGACTAAACAAAAGATAGAGGGGATCACAGGAAATAAAATGGATAATTTTTATTACATGAAATTAAAAAATTTTACACAAATAAAATGCAGCTAAAATTAGGAGGAAAGTAGGAAACTGGGGGGAAAACAGCGCAAATTTCTCTAGTAAAGAGAATTTCTCAAATATATAGGGAACTGAGCCAAAAATAAATATAAATAAAAAGGGCCATTGTCCAGTTGATAACAGTCAATGGATGTATAAACAGGCAGTTTTCAGAAGAAGAAATTGGGGCAGCTAGGTGGAGCAGTGGATAGAGCACCGGCCCTGGATTCAGGAGGACCTGAGTTCAAATCCGGCCTCAGACACGTAACACTTACTAGCTGTGTGACCCTGGGCAAGTCACTTAACCCCATTGCCTAGCCAAAAAAAAAAAAAACAGAAGAAGAAATCAAAGCTATCAATAGTCACATGAAAAAATGATCTAAATCCCTACTGATTATAGAGAAATGCAAATTAAAACGTCTCTGAGGTACCACCTCATATCTATAAGATTGGCTAACATGACAGAAAAGGAAAATGACAAGTGCTAGAGGGGAGGTGGAAAAATTGGGACACTAATGCACTGTTGGTAGAGTTGTGAACTGGTCCAACCATTCTGGAGGACAATCTGAAACTATGCTCAAACTATGCTAAAAAACTTTTTAACCCATCAATACCACTACTTGAAGCATATTTTTTTCCACTTTCTTTATTTTTGTTTTTTTTTTTTTTGCAATATGGCTAACACAGAAATGTTTTGCATGACTTCATATGTATAATTGATATAACATTGTTTGTCTTCTAAATGGGCAGGAGAGGGACTGGAAAGAAAGAGAATATGGAACTTAAAATTTTAAAAAATGAATACTAAAAACAAACAAATTAGTAAAGAGAAAAGATCATGGGATCCAAGAAAGTCTTCTTACAGCTGGACAGAGATGAGCAGGTTTAGAGGTCATGGAGAAGAAGTCAGTGGGTAGGAAGAGATTGAAGATGAGAAAGAAAAAGGAGATGAGTTAAGCTTCAAAAGAAGACAAGAGGAAAGGAGGAAGGGCATAAGTGTTAGACAAGGAGAAAGAGAAGGGACACCTCAGCACCACAGAATGGAACAAGGGAGGAAAAGGAAGAGATGGAGGATTTTGAGGTAGGAGGGAAGGGACATCTCTTGCTCTACTTGAGCAGCAAGGTCTCAGTGGCCACCCAGCTTCCCTCTGCCAGAAGAACTCCAGGAATGGGGGACTCATGATTTTATGAAGCAGTACATTTCACTTTGGATGGTTTTGAAGAAGGGGGAACATGGATTGGCAAAGGTTGTGGCTGGAATGTAGGCAGAGAGGGTGACTTGGAGTTGGGGATGGCTAGCAAGTGAATTTGACTGGTGCAAAAGGTACATGTAGGGAAGTAATGACAAATGAAATTGGGGAAGTCAGAAGGAGTTAATCAAGATGCTTTATTCTAGGCGTAAGTGTAGCCATTGCAGACAAAAACTAGAGGCTCTTCTATTTGTAAAGATTTTTCAGAGAAAGAAACTGTGACAAGGGAGGAGATAGAGGGATAGTCCAATAAACTTAAGCTCTTTCCCTCAGCAACTCCTAGCTATAGAAAAGAACTGTAACTACACAACGTCCATATTTGGCTGTTACACTGCAGTGGTTATCTTTCTGTCTACCCATACCAACTGACATTTGTGTGAATTTCGACAACCAGCAGATGTCCTCTTCTTTTTGATGCCATTTTTCTGCTCTGGCTCCATACCGGCTCATGAAATTTGTCTCTGGATGATATGCTTGGACAGTTCTGTCTAGCAGATCATAATATCCTGCTAACGGGAGGAAGTTAACTTTCCCAAATAGCAAGTGATCTCAAGATTCAACTGAATTCAAATCAAATCAATGAATATTTATTAAGCTACAATGACTTCATGGATTAGCCATTGGCCTTTCCAAAGTAGGGGCTATGGGTTTGAGTCCTACCCAGGAATCGGACTACAAGTTGCATTAATGCTCTATTTTGACAGGCAGCATGGACTTGGAGCACTGGACTGAGTCCCACCTCTGACACTCTGAGGTACTTCAACTTACCTAACCCCTCTGAGTTGAGCCTCAGTTTACCCATGGGGTTAGACTTAGTTTGCTTGACAGAATTAGGAAGACAATTATAGATTTCTAGCCAAAAAGGACCTAGGAAATTATCTAGTCTAATAAAGTGGAAGTAGCAGAGAGACAGATTTAGGTTTGGAGAAAAGAAATCTTCCTAAAACAATTAAAGATTTTCAAAAGAAGTATGGCCTGTCTTGGGGAGTAGCAGGCTTCCCTTCATTGGAAGTCTGAGAAGTTGAACAATAGCTTATTGGGGATGAGATTCCTGCTCAGGTATGGATTGGACTGGATGCTCTTTCAGCTTTGAGATTTTGTGATTCTATGAAATTACTATAATCACTCTAGTCCAGGTCACAATGATCAAATCAGAAGAGAAATGAGTGGCTTGGCACGCCTGAAAGGGAATTTCACAGGATAGAGGCCTGGAGCTAGAAGGGACCTCAGAGGCCTTACAGTCCAAACCCATTATTCTGCTTCATTTTGCTCTGTGCCAACATTTCCTGTCGGCCCCTCGAACAATTTCTAATTTTATTTTATTCTATATTTGTAAATAGTATTATATTGTGTTCAATTACATGTAAAGATAGTTTTCAACATTCATTTTTTGTAAGATTTTGAGCAATCTTTCATTTTAATACATAGATGTAGTCACAAATAATTAGGAATTCAATGGTTGGTGGCATTTCCATTCCTAATGTTAATACTGTTTTGTGTCGATTTAATTCAACAAGTATTTACCGAGCTCCTACGGTATGGCAGTTTGGGGCATTGTGTGGTGAAACTAATCAGATGTCAGAATTGACTCCATCAAATACTAAGAAGGCTTACCTGCTTCTGACCTGGTCTTCCACAGGATGGCAGAGCTTGTCAGAAGGCTTCTTATAGGATAAGGATAAATCTTTAGACTGTTTGGAACACAAGGTGACTAGCTGCTCCATAAGCCTGTCCTGGGTTTTGGACACAAGGCTTTCTGCAGATTGGTAAACAAGAACAAAAACATTTCGTGATTGGCCAGCTCTCCCCTGCTTCATTTATAAACTAGACCCTTAGGTTGAATCTACAAGCCCACGAACTCAGATGCTGCAGGTTTTAAGAAGTTGCCCCAAGGATAGAAAACTCATTAAAACCACTATGAACTATTGGACTCCAGTCCCCTACTAATGCAGTTTGATACCTGCTGTAAAGAGGCCACTGAGAGTCAAGAAGACTTGAGTTTAAATCTGGACATAGATACTTACTAGCTGTGTGACCTTGGGCAAGTCATTTATCCTCTGTTTGCCTCAGTTTCCTCATCTGTAAAATGAGGATAATAATAGCACCTACCTCCCAGGGTTGTTTTGAGGATAAAATGAGATGTTTGTGAAGTGTTTTGCGTTATATGAATGCTTTCTTAACCTTATACTCTCTCCTCTAAGACTGACCATCTCTATACACTTTTGAAAACTGGAGAGGATGAATGAGTATCTAGGGGATGATCATGTGAGCATTTTTATTTTATTTATAAGCTTCTCATGAGCAATAACAATTATTTTCCATTTAGCTTACTAATTTTTTTTTTAGTTTTCTATGAAGTGGAGTGGAGGTGAATTAGATTTTTAAAAAATAAAGGGTTTATAATGGCAGATTTGAAATGAAATAAAAGGGGACATTCATTAAAATCATATAAATCACTGAAAGAGATAAACAAGAAAACACTGGGGGAGGTAGAAAAGCAGCTTGCATTTTAAAGATAATCAGAAACAATGTAAGAAAAAAGTAGATAGGAAGAATGAAGAACCACAAAAAGTTACCAAGGAATGAGTTAACAGTATTTTTTAGTGAGGTTAGGCTTCTGGACAATTCATACAAGGAGCTGTGTACTATGAAATTCATTTTTACTGCATAAAAAAAGTCAGACCTTGGCCTTTAAAAGAAGGGTCGACTTCCCAGTATGTGGCTCCTGTTGTACATTCTCCCTGGCTTTTTTGTGCCTCCAGGTTTTGAAGTATCTTATCTAAATCCCACTCTTCAAGTATCTGAAAAATAAAACCACCTGGTAAGCCAAAATTTATGTGCAAGTTTTACACTGTTACAAAGATGAGCAATTTCTAAATCTAATGTCCTTATGATTTTAAGCCTGGGACATCTTAAAGGTACAAATGAATGTTTGAATTAAATGTCTCTGCCCTGCCCGAGCCAAGTTTCAACATAGTCCACTTAAACCTTTGTTAACTGCAAAACAAACAATTTTGCTTAGAAAAAAAAATTATCCTTCGAAAAGAGGAATGCTTTCTTGGAGGATTTCATATTTTCACTCATGGATTATAGGATCATAGATCTAGAGCTGAAAAAGGCCTGAGAGGTCATCTAGTACAATTCCTTCAGGTTAGAGAAGAGGAAGTGGAAGCCCAGAGAGTTTAAGTGATTTATTCAAGGTCAGACTGGTAACTAATACATAGCAGAGTAACGTCAGACAAGCAGGGTCAGGATTTGAATGAAGGTTCTGACTGTACATCCATTGCTCATTAAATGCTCTATTCAAGCTAGATGGAAGCTACTGTATAGTTTGTTTCAAAACTAGCTTGTTTATATGAGTTTTTAAATGTTTGGGGAAAACTGGGTTTGAACTCTTTAAAAAATAGGTTTACTGAAGGAGGTTATAAAACTCTACTCTTTCAAAAAGAAATGATTTAGCTTTAATCAAATATTCCTTAGAAGGGACCATAATTGGGTAAATAATTAGTTTGCTGAGTTAACTTTTCTGCTAACTCAGTTAGATGGTCCCATGTGCAACTGCAGAATAGAGGGAAAAACCAAGATTGAAAATTTGCATATACGTTGTCTGCTAAGACACCCCAAACCCACAGAATGGCTTGAACCAAGGATAAGCAGTTCACTCTGGCTTGTTTGAACCAGCACTGTAGGATTTATCTTCTGCTTTGTGTTGCTATTTAGGGGTTCTGAGTTACTTGAGGTTAGCAACCATGTCTGCCATGTCTTTGTAGTCCTTACAATACTCGGATTAGTGCAGAGTACACGCCATGCATTCAGTAAATATTTGTTAAAAGGATTTAATGCTGGAAAGATCATCTAGTTGAACCATTCCTGCACCTACCTCCAAAACACACATTTTACAGATAAAGGAACCTCAAGCCCAAGGTCACACTGCACATGGCAGAGCCTGGATCTCCAGACTCCATAGCCAACGCTCTACCCTCTGCAGTGAGCAGTTTGCATGTAATTGAATGGCACTGTTTCTTCTCCCCAGGGCATACCTTTCCCTCTTTTCTTTCAGCAAATAATAAGAGACAACAGTAGGGGGGTATACCAGGGCCTACTTTGCCGAAGACTTAGACATTTCACTTTAAAACGACAAAGCTTTAAACATGGAGAAAAATAAGTTGGCCTGATTTAAAGAATGTGTTCCTCCTCAAACATGGATAGTTACTAATTTAATGAGGTCAGTCTTTGATTTAAGATGTAGAAAACTGGATTTTCTTAGAATTAATGTAATAATAAATACTAGGATCAACAGTGAGCTCTCATCACACAGTGAATACAATCCAGGAGATAACTGTTTGCTAGGCCTACCTCAAGAGACCGTAATTTCAAGCCTTCATGTTTGGCTGGCACCTTTTCTTCTATATCCTCTGACTCAGTGGATTCATGGGTTATGGGTTCTGTGAATTGTGAACAACTTAAATTTTCAAGTGGAAACTCCTTGATTTTCTTGTGAAGTATGTTCTTCTCTATCATCCTTCTTCTCTCTTTTCTGATAGCTTTTATGCTTGTGGAATCTGACTCTTCAGAGGAAGATAAATTACCAGTCCCTAAATTGTCAGTTGTGAGACCTTTTTTATAGGTTGAAGTTGAGAATTCTTCCTCCTGGGGTCCTGTGATAAGAGCCTGAGTGCTAGATCTAAACAAATCCCAAGTATCTCCTTTCTGCCACTTGGCACTTTTTTCAGTGATCCCGAGATGAATGCCTGTTTGAATTTCTTCAGTGTCTGCAAATAGCGGACCAATCAGCGAAGGCTTGCTAGCATCTTTCCCTTCAAGAATGGCTGAATCCTTTATCCCTCCATACCAGTTCTTTCTAGCATTTATCACAGATTCCAGAAGCTGCTACCAAAAAAAAAAAGTTATGTGTTATAAGTACACTAAAAAAGGATCTAATGTAATCTAACTTCTTTTTATCCTAATACGTTTGCATTGTTCAGGTCCTCTAGGTTGTGGAATATCTCTGTTGATAACTCATGGTGGCATTTTAGGCCCCCTAGTCTGAGAATGCAAAGTGAAGCACCAAAAATAAAATATGTACAGGGTTCTTTCTTTTGAAGTCAGTTTTTATACAAGGTATTCAAAATAGCTTCATTAAAGCTACACTAGTAATTGGCATAACATTCTAATTTTGATTTGAGCTCCTTGGAATGTCTATAGGCCCTGCACAGTTGAAGTAAAAAGCTAAACAAATTAAAATTAGAACAGGGTGTTTCTGGTTCTAAATTGCTGATCTGGAGACTTCCTATCTGTCCTGATGGGTTTGTAAATTACACTTTTTTACAATGTTGGTACTGAGATAGAAAGTATACACAAATTATTATTTCTGGAAACAGAATGTACTAAGATTTAAGATGCCTCTGCCACAAAATACAAAATTTCCAGAAATGCTGCTCCAGAGACAGTTTAATGATACTCTATTACAAATGCTGCAGTTTGGAAAATTTACTTGACTATGAAAATAAGACAAAGACTACACTATTGTATCTTCTGATTTGAGATTACTAAGGCTGTGAAATTTACATAATGAAAACTATTGTTTTAGCCAAGGTCTGACTTAAAACAATTGAATCGATGGTAATATGCGTAATATTGTTGCTAATAGGCAGTAAATAAATACAGGTTAATAAATAAACAGTATTATAAATATAAACCTAGGAACACTTTATAAAATACTTTATAAAATAAAAAAAGATAAGGCTGGGATGGAATAAAAAAACAGAACCTTGGCCAACAGAAGGGTTAGTTATTCTCCTAGTTAATAAAGCTGTTAATGCAATAGAATCTACTGATGTAATTTATTGATATTCAACTTTTAAATAGTGGAAATAAAGGAACATTAAAGTGAACTGGGCTGTTTCCACCTAAACTTGTTGACTTAAGGAACAAGTAATCTATTGTGTTTGGGCATTAAGGTAAATGGGGTACGTGTGATGTTGACTGAATATTTTAGGCACTGCCATATCACCAGAGATTTCTATTCCAATGTTGGAATGTTATCATATTGTTGGCCAGTGGGACATAGAATCATATGAGCATAAATTCATAGGGGGAAAAGACCTTAGAGGTTATTTAGCCCTTTTGTTTTACAGATGAAGAAAAATGAGGCCTAGTGTGGTTAAAGGATCTGTCCACGATCACACAGATGAATGATTACAGAGGCAGGATGCATCCTTGGGTCCTCTGACTCCACTCCAAGGCTCCTTCCACTGTACCCTCCTGATTTCCCATGTACTGATATGATGTTGTAAGGAGTTAGTATCAGATTCATCTGGGGAATGATGATGGTAATTATTAATATTATTATTACTTATAATACTAATTAAATAAATAAGGCAGATATACTGACTCAACCCACTTGGCCTAGGAATGTCACAGATCAAGTGATTTTTAGAAGAGACCAGCTGGTTCTTCACTGCTGTTTAAACATATGCAATAAGGCTGTGTCTACATGACAATACAACATTTTAGAAGTGAAGGCAACTCACCTAAAATGTTTTTCCTGAAAACAAGAGATGACTAGATTTTTGGTTTGTTTGTTTGTTTGTTTGTTTGTGGTCTTTTTAAAATTTAGGTTTAGGTTGTTAGCTAGTGGCTAAAACTAATTAACAGCCTGCTTAAACAAAAGGTCTAAGGCACCAATCCAGCAACATTCTAGCCCCCAGCAGGGTGCTACTGATTAGCCTCTTTGCCATGGAAATGATGGGTCTACTCAAAAAGGCTTTCTTACTCTTGAAATAATTTTGGTGCCGTCTCAGGTAGATACATGGCCCCCAAAAAGGATCTGATCAAAACAATGGAATTCCATAGAGACTATAATTTAAATTAATAGCTAGAAATAGCTAGAGCATGGCTTAACCCCCTCTCATCCTCCAGATACTGTATTCTCTCTTCTTTATGCTGAATCCCATTACTCTTTCATGGTTCTGATTTGTAGTAACAAAATGCCTGCCACCATAGTGTACTTAGAATATAAAGTAATTTTATATAACCATAAAAGTAAGCATTGACCAACAGAGCCTGTACCTGTATGAAACTGAACTATAAGAAAATAAGAATATAATTTCTTAACTACCATGTTTATTTGCTTTTTTTGGTACTTTATTCATTGAGTGTTGATTGATATTACATATTAATAAAGAACATACTTTATTAATGTATGCATGAATGATTCTGTATGTTATTTTATTTGTGTTAATTTCAGTTATCATTGTAGTCTTATAGCGGTATTACAAAATAAATATCTATCCTGTTAAAAATTGAAATATGACCCACAATATTGATATTATTCTAATGCTTAGTGTTACTAACATAATATAGGAATGATGGGAAACATTTTTAGAACTGATAGCAATTTTTGCATGTTGACAAGGTTTTCCAGGTTTGGGTTTTTCAGTGTTGGGTTTTATGCACAGAGAAAAAGTGGCTGGGTCTTGGAGAATCAAGGTCATAAAGCAGCAGAGTAAAATGGGAAAGGTAGAGTATAAGGAGGACCTGAGTGTCTGGGTCATCTGCCAATTCTTCAGTTAAGTCCGGAATCAGATTTTCTTCATCTCTCTGGAAGATGAATAATTCCCCATCTTCCTCATCTGACTGTCAATAAACAATGGACAGTTAGGATCTTCACAAGGAGAAGCATTAACAGGGCAGAAGCTGCTGGTCTTTTAATTCTCCCTCCCAGCCCACACTTAGCAGCTCAATCTAGTGGCCTGCACAGAAGACAGTCTGAGAGGCCCAATCTGTATTAAAATTGTGATGAGGATGACGAAGGTCAGGGTTAGGATTATCACAAGCACATCTCCTGTAGTTTTTGGTTTTTTAACTCAGCTACTTCCTGGAGAAATGGAAACAGAGCCATCTGGTGGCCATCACACATCTCCAGCTCTATCTTCCATATCACCAAAATAAAAAAGCAAACAAACCACTGGTCCATTCATTCGTATACAAAATATATATCGTTAAGTACCTACTGTGTGCAGACCACTGTAGTACACATTGGAACATATCTAAGATGAAAACCTGATTTAGAGCCAAAGTAAAATATTCCTGATAGTGAATAGTGACTATGCTACTAATTTTTGAATCTTGTCTACAACAGGGTTTCCAAAAAGAAAATTTTCAGTGATAATATAACACATTAACAAGAAGCAGATGGCTTCTGTGATAAAACAATGGACAAGTCAGTCTAATATAGGTCAGCCGGAAATTTTAGTCAAGGACCATGTGCTCCTGTGCTGAGGACTAGCCACATCTTGCACTTTTGGAATCACAATGATTGCTCAGTACCTATCATGGCTCACGACTTCATGCCTGCCATAAAGCATAAAGGAAGTGCCCAATTTACAAATAGGTTATCTGGAAATGATCACATATTTCCCCACAGAAACAATTCTATAGCAACACACCCCTGACATGACTGACTCTTCATTTGTATGGATGTATGTTAAGTCTAGGAAAACCTATGCCAACAATGGAGGGGGCAGTGTGGTGGTACAAAAGGTCACCGGTCAGGAGACGTGTGTTTGAATCTAAGCTCCAACTGTCACTGGCTATGTGTCCACAAGCAAATCACTTCCCAAAGCCTCAATATCCCAAGATGTAAAATGTGTATAATAACCCTCATACTACCTACCATACAGGGTTGTCATGAAGCAAAGTGCTTTGAAAGCTTTGTAAAGTTCTATATGTAAACTTTTAATTAGTCAATAATCAGGCCTAATAATAATTGTAGTGGTTGTGTCTGGGCATGCCTCTAGAAGGTCTAGGTAAGCCCTTCCTCCTTCCTACGACCAAAGCTTTAAATGAGGAAGGGACTTTAGCATTTACCCAGCAGTCTCCTCATTTTACAGGTGAGGCAACTGAGGCCAAGAAGCTTTTCCAAAGTAAAAAAAAAAATTAACAAATAGAAGTGAGATTGAAACCCAGATTCTCTGACTCCTGATTCAGTGTTCCTCCTGTTGAACCAATGCTGCACCCAATGGGGGTAGCATAGACAGCAGAAAGGTCTTCCTGAAGGAGAGGATATTAGAAGTATGGAGGATTCTCCCTGGGGGAGATGAGTCACACACAGACATGGAGACCCTAAGCCACCTGCACCCCCAGAGGGAGGACCACGTATCCATGAAGCCCAAACAGGAAACTGTGTCTGTGTAGGTAACACTGATATCAGAGACATGAAGGGGTGAAGGAGCTGCTGCCAGATGGAGATGTGAAAGATTAAGGAAGATTAAGGAAAAGATTAAGGAAGAAGCTGGTCCTGTTCCTTTACTGGTACTGTGAATCACATGGATTGTATCCGTCCCAAGAAAAGGTGGGACCAACAGAGGGGAGAGCTGTTTGATTTTTCCAGCAATTATAAGTTCTTCTTCTTTCCAGTTGGAAAAGAAGAGAAAATTGTATTGTAATAGGCCTCTGAAGAAATGAGGGATCGCATGGAGAGATTGCTTGACTTATTAGCAACCCTGAGAAGGATGGAGAGTTATTTTGAGTGTTTATGAGCTTTGAGCAAAGTCCTTTTCATTTTATACTGGTTAATTAAAACCTACCCTATATTTGATGTTTTGTTACCTTGATGGCCCTCACGGAAGCTAAGAGCTCCTGCAGAAAAAACAGCCAAATTCTGATATTTCTAAGGGAAATTAGAGTGGGTGTAAATTTAGCTAAACTCTAATGTTCCCAAGAGAAATCCTGGGTGGAGGCATGTACTAAAATGATGCAGGGGAATTACTGAAAAGCTCCCAAGACAAACTCAGGCCTGTGTGAATCCAATGCTGGGCTTGGGTTACACAATCATAGCCCACTTCTTCGAAGATCTTTAAAGTCTGCAAAGTGGTTTCCTCATGATAACCATGTGATCCAGGTAGTACAAGTTTTATTATGTCCATTTCACAGAAGAGAAATCTGAGGCTCTGAGAGGTTAAATGATTTCCCCATGGTCACAGGGTTAATCAATCAACAAGCATTTATTAAGTACCTACAATGTGCCAGGCACTGGGGATGCAAAGACAAAATCAACAGTCCCTGTATTTAAGGCCCTTGGGTTCTAATGATGCAGACAGCAGATACCTAAAGTCAAAGCCGGGATTCAAACCCAAGTCTCCTGACTCCAACTCGAGCCCCCTTTCCACTCTGCCTCACTGCTTCCCTGTCACAATGACCCCCTTACGGTGTCATTTTCCTGTAATGGATAACTGGTTAGAAATGATAGTCTCAATTTACAAAAACCAAAAAGGAAGTAGCTTGTCATGAAAACAGTTTCAATCTGTGTTCAAAAGCTGCTGCTGATACACAGCACTTCTACGTCAAGCACTTACTAATTCAAGTAATACCTAAATTGAGGTATGATAGCATATGAAGGATAATGACTATTTGCTAGGAGAACAAATATAGTTTTAGGAACTCAGTAACACCTCAGCTGTCTGGAGTTGGTTAGCAATCAAAGAAGCGTGACCAACAAATAAAGAATGTTAGATTAGCATTCGTCTGTCCCAACACCTTTAACTTATTGATAGGAAATAGAGGCCCAAGAAGGACAGGTTCCTATCTTTGCAAATAGCCTACATATGAAAATAAACAAGAACTTTTTTTTTTTACAGAGAGAAGCTTTATAGAGAATATGGAGTTGAAGAAAACAATTGCTATCTTGTTATTCCTTGCCTCAGAGAATTTGTTGTAACTTGATCAGCAAAGTACTATGGGTCATTCATTGGGACAGAAAACAGTGCTACCACTCAGAATGTTTCTTTGTATAGAGTTCACCCCAGTGGAGCTTTGCCAGTAGGTGCTACCGAGGGCCATCCTCTTCTTCAGCTTAACAGCGCGACTTGTAACATGCATTCTCAATAGGATGGTTGGAGGCATTGAAACATCACTTAGGAAAACCAAGCAACAGTAAATGAACTGAGAGAATGACAATGAAGGATATGGAAAAAAAAAAGGGGGGGTGGGAAATAAAAGAAAATCAAATTAAGAAAAGATTTATTTATGCCAAGTTGAAAACATGAATATCATCTAATTTACAATTTGTGAAAATTTATAAAAATTAAAAATAGGACTTGCATACAGAAATATGGAGAAATGGTCGCTTAAGTCAATGTTCTGTTCATCATAGGAAAAAAGTTCTCTGACCTATAGAATCCACATTGAGCAACTTCTTACCAAGGAAGAATCTGAGTCAAAAGATGGGAGCTGTTCTTTCACTGAAGCCAAGATAGATCCCCATATTGATGTATCATACAGGCAAGGCAATTGATTGTGGCCAGTGAGATGATCTTGTTTATCATTTGATGCCATAGGAAACAAGTGCCATGCATATACCCCTTCCACATGAAATCACTTGAGGATAATCCTAAAAAAAAAAAAAAGAGGAGGCAAGGCAAGAAAACTATAACAGAGTACGTACATTAAGGTCAGAGTTTGGATAACTTAATTATAAAATTTAGAAATCCTTAGAAATGTCATCTAGGGGCAGCTAGGTGGTGCAGTGGATAAAGCTCCAGCCTTGGAGTCAGGAGGACCTGAGTTCAAATCCAACCTCAGACACTTGATACTTACTAGCTGTGTGACCTGGGAAAGTCACTTAATCCCCATTGCCTTACAAAAAAAAAAAAAGAAATGTCATCTAATCTCTTCCTCTTAAAGATGAGGAAACCAAATTCCACACAGGTAAAGTTATTTCTATAAAATAGAAGGTGGTGTTTGGTCCAAACCTGTGATTTCATCAGCATGTTGAACTCCCAGAGTAGACACTCTCTCTACCAATGTAAATTAGCAACTGTGAGAATTGCCTTAGGGCATTGAGAAATTAAATGAATTGCCCCAGATCAGTCAGTCAGTCTGACACATGTGAGGCAGGGCTGAACCCTGGTCTTCCTACTAGACTCCAAATGTGGCCCTCTATCCACTGCACTAGACTGTTTCAATCTCTTGTGATCATATAGAATGTTAATAGCATGGTTGCGCTATTTCCCCAATTTCAAGACCAGACATCTTTCTACTGTACAACACAGGATCTTCCATCTTCCACAAAAGATCTAGGAAAGACTTAATCCACTTAAATTTATTAAACACCTGTGGATAGATTCTGAGAAACAGATGGCATAGCGTAAAGGGAATTGGCCAGAAAGGCACATAGATCTGGGGTGCAATCCTGCCTCTGATACGTACGAGCTAAGTGACCCAGGTAAATCCCTTAATCGCTCTGGGCTGTAGACTAGAATGTCAAACATGGGACTGCAAACCGCTTTTGACTCACACTTCCAAGCGGGCCGAGGCAGATTAAAATGTAATCAGGAAACAAATAAAATAAGTAAAATGGGGGCAGCTAGGTGACACTGTAGATAGAGCACTGGACTTAGAGTCAGGAAGACTCATCTTCATGAATTCAAATCTGTCTTCAGACACTTAACATTATCCCTTCAACATCATAGCTTTCCCCATCACAGTTTCCATATATTGCAGATTGACATAAGAAATTAAATAGGAATTCTTGGGGAGTAGGCGATATGTGAAGGCCAGCAGATGACACAAAAAAGTTTAGTAACTCAGAAATGCGCAAAATACATGTATAGCATTGTATTATATCAACATATTTTATCTTTTAATGCCATAATAATTTAGACTTCTTCTCTGGTACAAAGGGAGGACCAACTTTTACTTGGATTTACCAGATCACCAGAGGTGCCACACCCTTAACCCCTCGATGTGGAAGGGATAACTGTACTAGCTGTGTGACCCTGGACAGTTCATTTAACCCTGTTTGCCTCAGTGTCCTCATCTGTACAATGAGCTGGAGAAGGAAATGGCAAACCATTCCAGTGTCTTTGCCAAGAAAATCCCAAAATGGGGTTACAAAATGCCAGAACAACAGTAACAACAATGTTAACAAGTGTTTTTCTAAGTCAATACGCTACCTGCAGGGATCCTTGGGGAGATTTAGTGGCCTTCCTTCCTATTTGAGTTAGATATCACTGCTCTAGGCAACTGTCTAAGACCTAGAAGGTGCTGGCCTCCAATGCTAGAGGGAGGTTCCTCATCCAGGAGAACGTTTTTCTTCTAATTTTTCATTCTTTTGATTTTGTTTGACTGATTCTTGATGTCTCATAGAATCATTAGTTTCCACTTGCCCAATTCTAATTTTTAACAAATTGTTTTCTTCAGTTAGCTTTTGTACCTCCTTTTCCATTTGGCCAATTCTATTTTTAAGGAGTTGTTTTCTTCAGTGTACTTTCTTCCACTTTGTCAATTGTATTTTTAAAGGAATTGTTCAATTTTTCTTCTACTTCTCTTATTTGACTTCTAAAATCCTTCTTGAGCTCTTCCAAGAAGGTTTTTGGAGCTTCAGACCAGTTCATACTCCCCTTTGAGGTTTCAGATGTGTGTATATTGACAATGTTGTCCTCTCCTGAATTTGTGCTTTGATCTTCCCTATCACCAAGATGCTTTTCTATGGTCACTGTTTTTCTTTGTTGCTTCTTGCTCATGTTGTTTACCTTTTTTCTGGCTTTTAAAGTTGATCTCTGCTTCTGGGGCACAGGGGGCACTGACCCAGGCTTCTTGTGCTGGGGGCTATGTGCCTGGTTACTGATTTTGTGTGCTGGGGCCTTAGGTGTTGGCAGCGGGAGGCTGTAGGTTTCTGGTAGCTTACCTGGTGCTGAGCTGAAGCTGGTGGTAGTGGCTGGTGTGTGCCTGGTGCTGTTAGCGCTTGCCTGTTCCACCACCCTGGGGCTCAAGATCACCTGCTGGTTTGCTGAGGTGGGGCTTGCCACTGGCTTGCTGGGATGCCTCCCATCCTGTACTGGTCCCCCTTCAGCCACAGCAAGAGGGATCTTTCCCATTAATCCCCCTAACCTCTTGAGCTAAAACATTGCTGTACCTCATCTTTCTGCTGGCTCCATTATTTCAGGATTTTTCCTGGGCAATATTTTCTGGGTTTTTCAAGGTCAGTAAGGGAGGGTGAGAGTGACTTACTGCTTACTCCACCATCTTGGCTCCCAGAAGTCAAAATAGGTCCAGGAGAACTTTATATCAAGGAAATCACAGGTTTAGCCCTTATTCCCTACTAAGTGCCAAATGCTGGGCTTGGTGCTGGGGATACATAGATACCTTCCCTCTTCCCCCTGAAAAAAATAACCGCTAGGTTCAAAGTACTTATCATGAGGAAACATCACAATAAGTATCAAGTACACACATATACACACACAACAGAGAAAACAGTCATTTAGGAGATGATGGAGGGAGAATACTAAGGGGGGTGAAAAGGGAAGGAAATCATGAAAGACCTTGTGAGGACAGTGGCACGTGAGTTGTATTTTGAAAGAAGCTTGGGATTCTAAGAGAAAGGAAAGAATTCTAAGAATGGGGGATAGTCTATGCCAGGGGTAGGGAAGGGCCACAGGTGGCCTTGAAGCACCCCTCCCCACCTCCCCCTTCTGTCTATGCAAATGCATGGAGGTAGAATATTATGCACTGGGAACCACAAGCAGGCCAAGATGGCCAAAACCCAGAGTATCCAAATTGGGACTAAGGATAGTTTGGAACCAGATTATGAAGGGCTTTAAATGCCAAATAGCAGAGTTTATATTTTATCCTAGAGGCAACAGAGAACCACTGAAATTTCTTGAGCAAAGGCATGGACATAGATGTATGGCAGGCAGTTCAATGACTAAATTATTGCAATAGTTCAGATGAAAGAGTTGAGAGAAGGACAGGGATGTCAAAGAGCTTATAGAGAAAGAATTGACAAAACTTGGCAATTGATTATTTATTAGTGATAAGGGAGTGAGAGAGAGTGGACAGTCTAGTATGATGCTGAGGTAGTAAACCTGGGTGACTGGAACAATAGTAGTAGAGAAAGAGAAATTAGGAAGAGGCCTGGTTGTCAGTGGAGGTGGGGAAGAAGGAGTTCCATTTTAGGCCCTTACAGGATATCTAAGTAGAGAAGTCCAACAGGCAGCTGACTATATAAGACCTCAGTCTTACAAAGATGAGGGCAAATGGGTTGGGGGGATAACATCACACTGTCCTCTGGCATAATGACTGTTTATAGTAATAGATTACATTATTTTGGCCAATCATGGCATGATTTCCTTGAATTTCCTTTCTTTTATACCTTTTTCTTGCCTCAGGCTGGAAGGACAGGGGTTACAATCCAATCTCACTACTGATTAGCACCAGAACTCAGACTTGCTCTGTTTCTAACCTGGGCCAATTTATTCCTCCTTAGGCAACTTGATTTCCTTGGCTCACTATATTGATGCCAAATTTAGTGAGGACATCTGATAGGCTTAGCCCACTACAGCTCAGAATTCCTTTTGAGCTCTAGAGATCCATCAACCTTAGTGTCCTCAGAAGTTGAGATGTGTTCTAGCATGGCTGGCTCACCCTTGAATTTCTTTAAAACCCTCTAGTCAATAAATAACATGTAGTATCAGAGCACAAAGGCTAACACAATGTTGGGCACACAAAAATGTATAGAACTGAATTCATATATACTAGTTGGACGTAGTAAAGAACTGGGGCTCTTTTTTTTTTATTATCAGACACTACAGGAAAAAAGTCAATTCACTTCTCTGGGACTTAGCTGCTTACCTGTAAAATGAGAGAATTGGGCCAGATAATCTCCAAGATCAGATGATCTTTTAGCTCTAACATTCTATGAGTCTATGAAACTGGGGTTCTGTCATGTTTGCTAATATTTTAAGAATCTGAGACATTTCTCGTTGTAGGGATATCTCAGAAGGCAATACTTCTAGATCTGCTAAATCACCATTTTTCAGAGAATTGTAACAATGGAAAGGTGCTAGAGAGATCACCCGGTTCAGGTCCCTGCCTTCAGACTAAAAAAGATTATTGTAATATAGTATGCAAACTAATAAAAAATTGTTTACAACAGTCTTATCTTGAGTTGTAGAAATAAAAATATCTCTATCTCTCTCTATATTGAGTGTTCCAAAAGTCTTAGTGCAATTTTAAGTTGCTTTAGTTATTAAAACGATATTTAAGCTTTAAACTGCAATGACTTTGGGGACACTATATAATTTGTGATATCATTGGTGTAAGGAACTCCTGGTATGGAAACTCTTCCTACCAAAGCAGTAACAATAAAAACAATAATTTAATGAATGTTTACATTTACATACCACTCTTTACTTTCTTATGGCATTTTAATATATGTAATTTCACTCTTAAAACAACCCTGTGAGACATTCTCCAAGCTAATTTATTATTTAACAGAAAAGCAAACTAGGCATTGAGAGAGCTAACGTGCTGGCAGCTGGGCCGCCTGGCCTTGGTCCAGTAATTAGCACAGATCCACGCAAGCAATAAGAAATGTTACTGAATGAATGACAGTGACTTAGGCACAGCCCTACGGAGTTCTAGTTGCAGAGCTAGGCTAGATCTGAGGTTTGACAAAGCAAAATTATCATAGACTAATCGATTATTTTTAAGTCTACAGTTGAGGAGGAGTGTTGGGAAGGAAGTGAGGGGATAAAATTATACCCTCTTCCCGGCTTACTTCAACTCATTGCCACGTGAGCCACTAAGCCAGCCGTTACCATGGCAACTAGACGCCAACCTCCTTCCCAAGCTGTTCATTCTTTTTTTACGTTTGGGGGATCGGAAGGTCGCTTGCTCTTTCTTCACACCTTTCCATCCCTTCTCTTTCTACCTGCTCTCCTAAGTGCTTCACCTTTCCCTGCAGGTGAAACTGGGATCCCCTCAACTTACCTCGAGTTTCTTTTATTCGGACCTCTCACTGCGGTCCCGTCAGGGGTATATAGCACAAACTATAATCCGAATAGGAACACGTCATCAAAGGCGCGTCCCTTCCCTCCGAGCCGAGGCTGCAGAATGAAATTGTTTTGCTTCTGCCAACTCCTTTTGTTTTTCTTCCGTTAGCGTCTTTTTTCCTCTCGTTCATTCCATTCTCTTTCTCAGACCGTCAGGGTCCTGCCCACTCTCCAATCACAATTGGTCCACTTGGCCCCAGCCTAGTAGGCGGGGTTTAGCATTTTCTCACTTTTCATTGGTTGACGAACACGTCAAAGACCGAGATAGACATGGGTCTTTCGGACAGGTCCGAGACTTGAAATTTCAGTCTCAAGAATAGGAGGAGGCGGAGAGGGAAACTAAGAGTCCCAGCGTCCCCTGCGTCCCTCCAATCACTTCCGGTGTGGGACCCTGGGTGTGGGTTCCGGGCGTTGGGTCGGCTGGCTGAGCGTTGGGCTCTTTTTGAGGCGTGGAGCCCGGGACTTGTGCCTCTTTCTCGGGCCCGGGCGGAGCCACCGGTCGCCGAAGGCAAGGTTGGGGGCCCGCCCCGTGGATGTGCCAGGCTGGGAAGGGAGCGTCGGGGCATGTGGGCGTTAGGTGACCCGCGGGCCGATTTCCTCGTCGTTTCCTGAGTCCGCAGCGTGGGGGCCTTTTCGTCGCGGGCAGCTGGAGCTGAGGAAGGACCGTTGTCGTTGGATGTGGCCCCGGCCCAACGGAAGCCTCGAGGCTCATGAGTCTCCCGCGCAGGTACCACCTGGGGTCGGGGGCACCTGCCTGCCTGTGCCCACATCGGCCCCAGGGGCCTGCATGCTGAGCCTGCTCGGCAGGAGGCGGGAATGAAGTGGAGCTGTCTTCCCCACTCAGTGCTGGAGAAGGGACCTCGGGGATCAGTGGAGGCGGTTCGGCGGAGTGGACAGCGCTGGACTTTGACCGAGTTCAGACCCTGCCTCTTACATCTAGCTGCGTGACCCTGAGCAAGCCCCTTGATCTGTCTGAGCTTCAGTTTCCTCATCTTTAGAATGGGGATAAAAATGATAGCCTTAAGGTTTGCAAAGCGCTTTAGACAGGTTATATAATTTTGTTCTCCAAAGAACGTGGGAGGTAATGCTGGCAATATCCCTATTTAACTGGTGAGGAAACTGACACAAACAGAAGTTAAGTGACTTGCCCAGGGGCACACAGCTAAGGTGGATTAAAATCAGTTCTTCCTAATTTCTAGTCCAGCAAGGTATCCACTTCACTACTTAACTGCTAATAGCTGTTATTATGAGGATTTAATGAAATAGTATATGTAAAGTGTTTTGCTGCAAGGTGTCTGCCTCAATTTCCTCATCTGCAAAATGGTGATGATAATAATAATAATAGCACTTGCTCCCCAGGGTTCTTGTGAGGATAGAATGAGATATTTGAAAGCTCTTTGCAAATCTTTAATTGCTATGTAAATGCTAGCTAGCTATTATTTTTATTTAATGCAGAACTATAAAGTATTAGATAAATGTCAGTTGCTGTTTTTAAATACAGGAATTTTTAACCTTTTTAATGTCATGGACCCATTTGACAGTGTGGTAAAAACCTGTGGACTCCTCAGAATGATGTTTTTAAATGTATAAAATAAAACACATAAGATCACAAAACACCAATCTGGTTGAAATAAAGTTACCTAAATCTTTTTAAGTGAATGAGCCCCAGGTTAAAAACCACTGGTTTGTTCCAATAGCTTGTGAGACCCAGATAAAAGATGTGGCTTGCCCAAGGTCCCTATTCCTTGCAGAGGGTCTCCTCAAACCTAGCATTTGTTTTAACTGTCCTTTTACCACTCAGTATTTTATTTTGCTTCTATGACAGAGTATTCCAAGAGACTTAGCAAAATCAAGTTGGTATTTTGGTACAGTTGTTCCATTAAGTAGGCTATTACTTATAGCTTAGACATCTTTTCAGTAGTTTAAATTTTAGCTATAATTATACACTATTATGTTATAATTTATTGGACTAATATTTAAATCACCCTAAAATTTTACTATTATGTACTTTTATTTTTTTCTTTTCTTTGTGTTTTTTTTTTATCTCAACTTGTTTTTTCCACACCCTTTCCATAATGGTAGCTCAGGAGAGTGTCAGTTTCATAAACCTCATGATACACCAGTAAGCAAATGAGTTGATAATAATATAGACAAGGTTTCCAGGATAAATAATTCTCATAACAAAATACTTGTTATCTGTCCATTACCAATACTGTTCAGCTCTTGGGCAAGTTTAATTACCAAATTGAACAGGCTGCCTTATTTTCTCCAGTCTGCCCTATTACCAGGCACCGTAGAAGTGAGGCAGCAAGCATAATGCAATGAAATGAGATTTAGGGCTAGAGGACCTTGGCTTCAAATATCTGCTTTACTACTTACTCTCTCTGTGATCTTGGAGATACTTCCTTGGAGAAGGCACCTCAGCTTCCTAATCTGTAAAATAAGAGAGTTGAACTAGATGTCCTCTAAAGCCCTTTAGGACTCTAGATCTGTGATTGTCATGTCAATTTAGTATATTTTGCTATTTCCTGCTTATCTAAGGCCTTATTTTGTAGTTCCTTCACTGGTTCTTTTTTTCTATGCCATCTAAGTATGCATAGGTATTTCCCAATGCTCTGCTCTCTGTCACTTAACTAATATCTATTTGCCTTAATCTATTGGAGAAGGAAAAGACAAACAGTATCTTTGCCAAGAAAACGCCATGCACAGTGATCTACGTTACAGGGATAGGGAACCTGCGACCTCAAGGCCACATGTGGCGCTCTAGGTCCTCAATTGTAGCTCTTTGACTCCAAACTTCACAGAACAAATCCCCTTAATAAAAGGATTTGTTCTGTAAAACTTGGACTCAGTCAAAAGGCTGCACCCAAGGTCCTAAAAGGCCACATGTGGCCTGGAGGCCAAAGGTTCCCTAACCCTAGACTCTATGAGGTCACCAAGAGTCAGACACGACTAAACATGTATGTAAAGTCTTTGCGAATATTAAAGTGGTATATAAATGTCAGTTATTATTAAGCATAGATCCAATTTCAGTCTCTTCTCTCAACTCCAGGCCTATATTTTTGTCTTCTTCCTGGCCATTTCCATCTGAATATTCTGTAGACACTTCAAATGCAACATAAGCCAAATTGAACTCATTATTTCTTCATGTCTTAAATATCTTAACTCTCTTTCCACTTTCCTTATTTCTTTTGAAGATATCTTGTCATTCATCCTCAAAACCTCATCATCCTCTTTTGACTCTTCCCTCTATGTCATTTTTCACATCCAAATAGGTGACAAGTCCCATCCATTCTACCTCCACAGGATCTCTGTATTTCTTTCTTTACTTACCTTGCTACCATTCCAGTTCATGTCCTTATAACCTTTTGCCTGGCCTACTTTGATAGCTTACTTAATTTTACCCTCCCCCTTCCTACTTTTATTTTCTTTTTTCTCCAATCCACCTACAGCTCCTAGCTACAAAGATAATCATCCTAATACATAGGTCTTGGGGCAGCTAGGTGGCGTAGTGGGTAGAGCTCTGGTCTTGGAGTCAGGAGGAGCTGAGTTCAAATTTGGCTTCAGACACTTGACACTCACTAGCTGTGTGACCCTGGGCAAGTCACTTAACCCTAGTTGCCTCACCAAAAAGTAAAACAAAAGCTAATACATAGGTCTGGCTGGCAGTGGACTGATCAGAAACCATTAGTAATTCTTCATTGCCTCCAGGATAAACTGTCAATACATCAAGGACTTATGATTTTGTCAGCATGTGAGCTATGACAAAATATGAACTCCTTAACTTGGCATTTAGAGCCTTTCACTATCCTGACATTACCTTTCTAGTCTTCTTTCATTTACCTCTCATTTATTGATTCTGAAATGTAGTCAAACTGTGCTCCTTTCTATGTGTTTTCTGCCTCTATGTATTTATTTGTGCATGTCATATTTCTCCATGCCTGGAAGTTGTATTCAGTCCTTCCACATTTCTGAATTTTGAAATCCTACCTCAAGTCCCAAGATTAAATGCCATCTCTTGCATTAAGTTTTGACTGACTCTTCCCCTTGCCCATGTAAAAGTGGGCTCATAGTGGGATCATATATTTAGAGTTGGAAGGGACCTTAGAGGTCTTCTGGTTCGACTTTCAAATTTTAGAGGAGGAAACTGAAGTCTGTGTAGGTTAAGTGATATGCCCAAAAGTCACACAGCTAGTAAACTATCATAATTAGTATTTGAACTCAGATTGTCTTCAAATCCAGCACTTTTTTCACTGCATCATGTGGCCTCCTCCATCTTCAGATTTTCCATAGCACTTTTTCTATACCTGTTCTTTGGTCTTCTCACATTACATATGTGTAGCACAGTTTAGATCATAAGACCTATGAAGATAGGAATTATCATTTTTTCATTTTTGTATCTCCAGCATCTAACGCAGTGGTTTTTGTACATAGTAGATTCTTAGTAAATGTTTGTTGAATATCCAACCAGGATCTGTTAGGCTAGTTGAGTTAGAGGTGTTTCCTTTTTGTGAATAGGAACTCTGGGCAATCTTGGCAGGTCACTTCATTTCTGTGGATCTCAGTGTCCTCCTTTGTGAAATGAACAAATTGAACCAGATCATCTCTACCCTCTTTTTAGCTCCAAAGTTCTATGATTCTACAGTTCAGACAATGGAATAAAATGTGCTTTGTAGCCTAGTTGAAGGAGTTACAGGTTCACATCTATCCTAGAGATAGTCAAATCCAGTGACCCCCAAAATACAATTTTTATCTAACCTTCATAGAATCACAAGTTATATTCTAGTTATAGAAGTCTTGAAGTTAACCAGTATAAATCTTGGAGCCCTTAAAGAGTTGATAAGGCTCACCTGGGGCCTTTTGGAAATGTTAGTCTTGGATAACTAGCTATCCAAAAATAGTACTGTGGAGAACAATTGACCAAGCACAAAATTGGCTAGAGCTTCCAACTCATGTCAGAAGGCTTTGTTTTTCAAAGCTTGCCTGTTTTAAAAAGCTAATCCTTGTAATTCTGCTGTATAA